TGATATTGATCTAGAGCAGGGGTAGGCAACCTTCGGCACTCCAGATGTTGTGGACTACATCCCCCATAATGCTCTTACACCCATAATGCTGGCAAAGCATCATGGGTGGTGTAGTCCAAAACATCGGCAGTGCTGAAGGATGACTATGCCTGATCTAGAGTCTAGACAAGGGCGGTGGAACAGTATGATTCCTATCATTATATATTGATTCAACACTGACAGTGTTATAGCAGGCCCTGGTGGGCCACTATCTCACCATTCAACACATAATCACTTGAAACTATCAGTGCTATGCATGATCCAACTTTCTACAGTACATACTTTATTTTGTCCTCCTCCCAACATTAATATCACCAACCAGTGGAAACTTGCGGTTAATGACAGATATCCCACATTTCATTTAAAAGTTATATTTTGCATCCTGCCCCTGTGGGGCTGCACTCCTACCTTATTGGGGTGTTGGTGGAGTTCCCTGGTGGTGTTACAAATAGGAGGATCCCCAGTTTCTGAGGTTTGCAGCATAGCAATCTGCAAGGTGGCGTGTATAGATTCCTATCCCTGTGCCCCCCTATGATTGGCTGAGTGGGCTAGTTAGATGTCTCCTGCATGTCCATGCTGCTGGCTTGCTGTGTGAGTTCGGCTGCCACTGTGCCTTAGGTCGCCATGTGCTAAATATTTTCATGACACCCTCTCTGTAGTGTGGGTGGATAGGACTGTAGTGAAAAGGGGTTGAGGGCTGTCGTATAGGGGGTTAGAGGCTGCAGTGTAAATGGGAATAGGGGCCATAGTGTAGGGGGTAGAGCCTTTAGTTTAGAGGACGATAGGGCCTATGGGAGGATGTGGCTGTAGTAAAAGGGGTTGGATGATAAAGTGCAGAGAGTAGTAGCAGCTCTACTGTAGGAGGATGGGGTTGTATTATATGGGGGGTATTGGCAGTAGAGGAGATAGGGACTGAAGTGTGGGGGCAGGGTCTGTAGTATAAAGGTGAAGGGAGTGGCTAGGGAACTGTAACGTAGTGGGTAACAGGGACTGTAGAGTATGGGGGAATGATAAAACAAAAAAAAAACTTAAAAATAAATAAACTGAAATAACAAACCCAGTTTACAGGTTGTAAACTGATAGTCATAGTGAAAGTGTGGTCTCTTTTAGACCTGTATTGTTTATAGATGTCCTCTTGGAACCTCACAGTAATATAAAGAGAGCAATTTATTTCCAGATATTGTGGATATGTATTCAGTGCTAATCTAGGGCAAAGTTCTAAAAGTGGAACAATCACCATGGAATCTGAACTCATAGGATTAAATCATGATATATTTCATTGAAGCAGTGGTAGACACATGAAACAGTTTTATCATTGTAAGACTAACTCATCAGAAATTGTTTTTATTCTCAGTTGCTGATTTTCATGACATTACTGCTCCTGGTAGAGTCATTCGGCTCAGACTCTTCAAAGACATCAAAAGGAAAAAGGAAAGGTAACAAGGCCAAGGAGGTCCCAAGTACTCATCAGGACAAAACACTGGGAAAGGCTTCTCCGGATCCCGTGCTCGGGGTAAACACATTTGCTCCATCTCAGTTTTACAGCTTGGTGGAAGATTACGAGAAAAGCCTGACAGAGATGGTGAACCAGCTGAGAAACAAGTCTGAAATTTCTGAAACCCGGTGTGAAGTCAACCTAAGATTATGGCTCTCGAACAGGAGAAGTCTTTCTCCATGGACATATGTGTAAGTTTGTCTTCTTGTTAAAAGTAATAGCCGATTCTGCCACAAACCTGTTTTTTTATGAGCATTGCAATTGTGGGATATTTTTTAAATAAACATAAAGCAAACAATGTATAAATATCAGAATATACATTTATAAAATGTAAAATGCTTACAATGTGACAGATTAAATATTGAGTGGAGTAGCAATGCAAGTGAATAATCCAAAAAAGGTGATTGTATGCAATATAATAAACATGCAAAATTTAACATGCACAATAGCAAGTAGCTTTAGACAGAATAATGCTTTCATGTTACATCCTAAACTAAGCCTACATTGTTCTTCATAATTTATAACCATATAAACTATGTAGAGCTCTGATCGGTATCCACCAGTGATGCACAACACATATGTAGCTAGTACTGGATAAGTAAGTCCAAAACATATATGGCTAACAAAATGTACTGGTAAATCAAATGAACATTTGCCAACTTAGCATATCTCAAAGCATCTGTCATGAGATTTTGGTTAACCGATGCCTTGGCAGGGGAATAGGAAAGGGAGGTTTTAAACTACACCAGTGTGATTTGCATATGTGCACCTTGTAGTCCTGCACTCCCAGCCCCTGGCCTGTTTCAGAAACCTCATAAAGTTTCTGATTGCCCATGCACTCCTTTTGCGCAGGGCAAAGTCTCTAGACTGCTCTTGTAGTCTGCACCAGAAGTGATCACAGATGGCAGTAAGCCTCTTCCAACCGCTGCCGCTTTGCCTCTGTCAAGGGCTCCGTCACAAGAATGACAGTGGCCATCTTAGGTTGGTCAATGTGGTTAAAGCATGCAGCCTGCTAAAGGCCCAGTAACCATGGGGGATAACCCCCACCGATCCCAAGGGGGTAGAAACTGGGCACAACACAAAGCCTTAGAGGCATCAATGGCTCTAGACCGGTAGATTGGCCGCATCTCCCACCTCCAGGGCCCACCAGGCTGCACAGGTCGCATCCGGTACTCCATGTCATTGGTTACTGATAAAAGATCATAGAGATAGTGAGGGGGTCTCCTTTTCTTCGCAAACATGTCTGCTTGGTATAACAGCTAGTCCCCGCCCCCACAACCCTGTTTTTAATTTATTCTTAGTTGATCCTGTAAAATTACATTGATAATAATGGGCATTTAAAATGGATTTAGCAAAGTCTTTATTTATGGTGTAGCAACACAACACCATAAGCACAATGGCCAATACCATAAATATAGATGACTCAAAAGGGCATATGGCATTAAAGACTAAAACCAAACCAGGATTTTGCTCTTCACTCTCTGTGACCCCAGATAATCTCGGGGTAAATGAACATCCCAACAACAGCAATATTGTATTCAGATGTTAACCTTATAATATTGTATGTTGGGCTGGCACTAGAGGGATTTTGCAGTGTGACCACTGGACTCAGGTGACACTGCATGGAGATGACAATATCCCACCCCTATTTAGGAACAGTTAACTTCTTTTAATAACTTGAGTGGCCAGAACCTAGACAGAGTTTTATGGCATTAAGGGGCCACCAAGATTCTACATCCAGCTATGTACTCCTCCCAATCACCAAAAAATGAGCTTTGCGAATTTTTCCAGTTCAACTTTTTTGACCTAATATTAATTCCTGGTCTTTCCCTTTCTTTACAATTCCCTAGTCAATGATCATAGACATACCAATAGCAGAGTGGAGTGCGAAACCATTCGCTTGTACTTGTTGCCAGCATGCTGTGCATGCTGAGGAAGAAGTACAATATTGATATAAGCCATCCGGAAATATTGTTCCAGGTTGTCTAATGACACACCAGGGACACTGCCGGAGGTGGAGTTACACGTGCATAGTGCATATAGAATCCAGGCACCATTACCACTTCAAATCACGGAAATAGGTGTGGTGCTTAGAGCATGCATTTAAATCGTTCGGGGTTTCTCTACCTGTATTTATAGCATCACTCTTCCTCTTTGCAGCATAAATCATGATGAGAACCGGATCCCTGTAGACATACCAGAAGCACGGTGCCTGTGCGCAGGATGTGTTAACCCTTTCACCTTGCAAGAGGACCACACCATGTCCAGTATTCCCATCCACAGCAAGATCCCGGTACGGAGGCGTCTCTGCGAGGCAAGTTCCCACGGACTCAGGACAAGAAGAAGAAAGAAGTGTCACAAGGAATATATAGCAGTGATGGAGAACATAGCGGTGGGCTGCACCTGCATCTTCTGAAACCACTGTTTACCTTTGCAACCTTCATAAAAAGCCATGTTCAAGGGGTTCAGACGTAATAAATTGACATAAAAGACACCATGAAGCATTTTAGAGACTTTTAACATTTAACACTAGCCTGAGAATTAAAAGTTAATTCACAGTGAATTTCAAATTTTACGCAAATGTAACCGAACTAGAAGGACAACTGACAGAGAATTTCTCAGTTTGGCTATTTTGCCCCAAATTTGAAATTTAACTAGAATTCAATTTGAGTTCTCTCTTTAGTGAATAACTCTGTGTGTGCATCAGGCAATATAAGGAGTATAACTCCTACTCTCCTCTGCCTTCTTTTCACGGTGCTGTGTAATATGCTGGTGTATAGTAAAGTATTATAACCCATCGTTATTTTTAATGCTGACGTATTTTGAATAACTATTTCTAAAAAATATAGTGACTTTTTATAAAGTAAAATTATTAATGATCCTCATTATTGGAAGCCACTATCCTCTCTTGCGGTATATAGATTAAAGGGACACTATAGGCACCCAGGCCACTTCGTCTAACTAAAGTGGCTTGGGTGCAGTGTCTCCGTTCATTTAACCCTGCAGCTGAAAAATTAGTTTTATAGAAACTGGAATGTCTACATTGCAGGCTTAAGACTGCCTCTAGTAGCTGTCTACCAGACAGCCATGAGAGGCACTTCCTGTGGTTTCACAGAGTTTAAAAGATGCAGTAGGGGGTAAAGGCTTTAGTGGGTGGAAACATGCAGTAGGTGGATAAAGGTTTTAGTAGGTTGATTGCTGCAATTGGGGAAAGGGGCAGTAGTGTGGGAGAAACAGGCTGCAATTGGGCGAGAGAGGCTGTAGTGGGGAGGATATGGGACTGTATTGGAGGTAAGGACTGTAGTCAGGGAATAGAGGCTGTATAGGGTGTAAAAGGGGAGATAAGGGTTGTAGAAGGGGGTTAGGGGCTGTAGTAGGGGATAAGGGTTGTAGAAGGGGGTTAGGGGCTGTAGTATGGGTTAAGGGCTGCAAGTGGGGGGAATTAAGGCTGTAGTGGGAGGGGATTAGGGGCTGTAGTAGAGGAGTGCAGGGCTGCTATTAGGTGGAATGGGACTGTAGTTTGGCATGGAGGCTGCAATTGGGGGAATGGCATTGTAGTGGGGCATAGAGGTTGCAATATGGGTTGCCTTCCAGCTATGTCTCTTCCACACATGTATCCTTCCCCCTTCCATCCATGTCTCCCTCCCTCCCAACCATGTATCCCAACCCCTCCTTCTATCTATGTCTCACCCCCATCCCTGTCTCCCAACCATGTATCCGTCCCCCCTCCCATCTATATCTCCCTCCCCATTCCATTCAGGTCTCTTCCACTTTACCATTCATGTCCCCCCCCCATGTCTCCCAACCTATTCCTCCCATCCATGTCTCTTCCCCCCAGAATGAGTAGTCACGTGACAATCGGCACTCCTCGCTCTAAAAAAACCCAATAGATTTCTGGGATATTATATAGACTCCGTGGGCGTCTCTATTTATGTATCAGTCCTGATTGTTAAATTCATCATATGTTTAGGATCTAAATGAACTTTTAGTAGTCGATGATAACCCTATACCAGCCCAACCCAACCTTACCTCTAGCGCTATGCTTACACTAACTCTAACTGTACACCTATCCTAGCCTAAACCTTAACCTTATCAAATACTATCCCTAACCCTAAAACAATATTAACCGTAACACAATATTAACCCTTATTGTAGCCTAACACTAACCTACTCTGACCTTAAACCTAACTGTAACCATAACTCTACCCAAACACGAACCCTAACTCAATACTGAAATCAGCAAAGGGATTTCCTAGCTGAAAGAGTAGAAAATGGTCTATGAGCTCCATCTACTGGATGATTGCAGCATGAGTGGCAGATCTCCCTCTCATGCCACAACTCCGGCATGCTGTTCCTGCTAATTACACTGTGATCGGTGCTGGGCAGCTGGCAAATATCCGTGCTAGTCATAGGGTGAATGTGCCGGTAGACCCTCTCAGAGCCTTTTCAAGCCCTGAAGATCTCCCTCAAACGTGGGGAAAGCGTTAACTCACCACAGCTGAGTGTGATCACTTTGAGCGCTGCATACAGCTCATTTATCTATCTTGGGTCACTAGGTAAGGCCTTAGCTGACAAAAGGAAGCCCCAGACATCGATTCATATATTAAGAAATTCTATCCCAGGGGTAGGCAGCCTTTGGCACTCCAATACCATTCCAATGGTGTTAAAGTCTACTCTGTGGTATCACACCACCAAATTACACTGAGCTAACACCAAGGAGTGAAGATATGTTGCAGATGATATAGCAAACATTGAGAAGTGGAAATGAAGCTCAGTAGCAGGAAAGGTAACAGTATACTTATTCACCTTACAACGAAAAATACATTTCTTTTTTTTATACTGCTTATTAATCAATTTGGGAGTAACTAACAAAGGAATTCCGCATTTGAAATTAAAATTACAGCTTTACAGTAACACACACACACAAAATAATATTCAATTTGCAATTAAGCTTTGGTTTACATAGCATACATATGCTTTAAAAAGAAGCATAAGCAGTCTCTAATTTAAAGTTTAAACAAAAAATGTACCAGTTCCCAGACGTATCTTGTTATCAGTTGTCTGCTCAGGAGTGTAGCAAACGGGCGATCAGTCACTTTCCCTGATAGCTATGTGTGTTTTAATTCTGTAGCATTGTTCTGTATCACGGGCAAAGACATGCATTGTACAAGAGTTACGTCACTTACGATTGTGAGAAAAAAAAATTACCAAGAAAAATAAAAATGCAAAGTAATGTTCCAGGAATAATCTTGGCAAATTGTTCTATATTTCTACTTAGATTGTAAGCTATTGTTTCTGCACTTTTTGCAGAGCTAAGTTTTTAATCTAGAACATTTTTAAAAAGATAACACACCAGCCAGTACAGTTTTTCAAACAGAAAATAACTCAAGTTATCTTTGTAGTGGAACCTTTCTAAAGCATTTCTATCCTTGGGCAGCCTGTGATTGGCCGAAAGTATCTGCTGACACTCTCATTGGTAAAAAATGTGCATCAGTGGTAGGGACCATAAGGTAAGAGAGCATCCAGGACTTACATTCCCCATAACCAGGGTTGTCGTTACCAGCACAAGTTACTTCCTTATGGCGCTGTGGCAGGGGGGCATAGTATCTGAGGATACTTCTGCTCTCCTTGAAAAGTGCAAGGACATTTATAAGAAATAATTGGTAATTATAAGAAAACATAGGAACTACTTTTTTTCATTCAGTGCATGATCTTTGTAAATGAGTAGAACTGAAAGGGTTACTCTTACAAAGTAAATCTTTTAATTGTGCATTAGGAATCTTCCCTTTTTTAATGCACAATGCCCTGTTGGGCATTAGTAAGGAACCTGCCAATAAAGTGTTAAACGTAACTGAAACTGTACACCAGAAGAAGTTCCATACGCTGTTCTCCCCGAATCTGTCCAACATTATACCTGCCCTTACCTACCCTTGTACTGGCCAATTAGATTGCTGAAGTGCTTTATGTGTGAAGAGTGTGTCCTCTTTTTTCATTTTACAAAAAGTGCAGAATTCAGTAGAAATTGGCACTTTTCTAAATTAACCTTGGTACACCTCTCTGGCTGCCAATCAGATAATTGATCCGGTTTCTTCCTCAAAACTCAAGAGGCACACAATTGCTCAGAGCACCTGCTTTGTTGAACTGCACGGAAAGTCTGGCTTGGGTTAGCAGGGGAAGGATTGCAAAGGCAGGCTGCTGCAGACAAGAGTTTTGCAACTTTTGCAAGCTGATTTTAGATATCTCCTTTATGAAAAAATGCATAATTAAATGCATGCAAGTTTTCTTTTGGGGCCTAAATCTACTGAGTAGTTTTTTTACAAATAATTATTTTTTTTGTGTGTGTGTTTTGAGTCCCTTTAATGCGCAATACTGGGACCCGAGCATATGTAGCATGGCCGCGGGTAGAGGAGCTTCTGTATTCTCTACCCAGCCTGACAGGAAGTGCTTTCAGCGAGTGCTTCCTGTCAGACCGCAGAGAGGAAACAGAAGCTCCTCTACCCGCAGTGCGATCGGCCACATAACAAGAAGGTCTGTAGACATATGGAGCGGCTGGGAGAGAGGGGAATGAGACACATGGAGGGGCTGAGGGAGGGTTGAGACACAAGGAGAGGCTAGGGGGACATGACACACAAGGAGTGGTTGGGGGGATGAGACACAGAAGAATTGGGGAAAGAAAAAGACACACCGAGAGGTGTCTTGGGGAAAGAAGGAAGGGTTGCGGAGGAGAAATAGACACATAGAGACGCAGGGCCGGACTGGGAATGAAAAGCAGGAATGTAAAAAATTCTATACCAGCCTCATAATGCATCGCGCCAGCATAGTGTGCAAATATGGAAGCGGGAAAAAAAAACGTAAAACTCAAAACTATCACTCAAACGTGAAAGAAATAAACAAAAGAGCAGATTTGTTGTAAGCAGGTGTGCATTTGCATATAATCAATGTTTCACTACAACTACCCTGACACATTAAAGGACCACTATAACTTGTTTTCTTGGCTCTATAGGGTCTTTGGGTCCCCCCTACCCTCAGGGTCCCCCTCCCGCCGAGCTCTAGGGGGAGGAAGGGGTTAAATTCTTACCTTTCTTCAGCGCCGGGGACTCTCTTCCCTCTTCCGACGTCATCAGCCGTGCGCATTCAATCAGTCCATAGGAAAGCATTTCTCAATGCTTTCCTATGAACACTGGCGCCTTCTCACTGTGAAAATCACAGTGAGAAGCGCGGAAGCGACTCTAGCAGCTGTCAATGAGACAGCCACTAGAGGCTGGATTAACCCTAATGTAAACATAGCAGTTTCTCTGAAACTGCTATGTTTACAGCTGCAGGGTTAAACTTAGATGGGCCTGGCACCCAGACCACTTCATTGAGCTGAAGGTGCCTGTAGTGGTCCTTTAAGGAAAGTTTTGTAATTGGACTGAAATTGTGAATGTATGCTATTGCAGAGCAGTAAAAAAAAAATTACGTTATCTTGTTAGTTTGAAGTAACAAGAGTGTGCTCTTCACTTTGGCTGACAACTGGATGATCTCAGTCAACGCCAATTCAATCTCTATAGGAAAGCATTGGGAGGCTATTGCGCATGTGTGGCAAAACGCAGTGCTTCACCGCACCGATCAGCATCTCCTCATAGAGATGCATTGCATCCATGCAGAGAGTGGAGATGCTCAACATAGGTGCTGCACACTGTGCAGCACTGGACTAGGAAGCATCTCTTGTGGCTGTCTCATTTACTGTCACTACAGATGTTTCTAGGCAGCAATGTAAACACTGCCTTTTCTCTGAAAATGTAGCATTTACAGTGCTCAGCCTACAGGGATAGGCTATAAACACCAGAACCACTACATTAAACTGTAGTAGTTCTGGTGACTATAGTGTCCCTTTAATACGAAGTCTCATTAGCCCCCCATTTGTCCCTTCCTCCCAGCCCCTTTGTAAAATATACACAAAGGGGGGTTATAAGAGACACACAAGAGGGTTGTAAGACACACATTTGGGAAACATGGGAGAAAAGATGCAGTAAAATGGATGTCAATTAAGAGTGGATAAAAAACACAAAAGAGGCATCTCTGCCTGTGTCTCCTGCTCTCCATGTAACTTAGTTTTTCAGCACAGGAGTCTATGCCAAAGAGTTGATTGACAAGTGAGAGAAAGACATCTTATTAAATGAACACTAATGTCACTAGAACCACTACAGTTGAATGTATTGGTTTTAGTGTCTATAGCCTGTCCCTGCAGGCTGATCACTGTAAACGCTGCCTTTTCAGAGAAAAGGCAGTGTTTACAATGCTGCCTAGGAACTCCTGTAGTGTTAGTCACTCAGATGGGCACTGGAGGTGCTTCCTAGTCAAGTGCTGCACAGTGCGCAGCACTTATGTTTAGCATCGCCATGCTCCATATAGAGATACATTGATTCTCTAGGAGGAGATGCTGATTGGCGCAGCACAGCGTTTTGCCAAGCATGAACAATAGCCTCCCAATACTTTCCTATTGGAAAGCATTCAATTGGCTGAGATCAAGTTTGAAGAGCACACTCATAGGACTTCAAACTAAACAAGATAACCTGATTATTTACAGCTGTGCAACAGCATACGTTCACCATTTCAGTCCCATTGCCAAACTTTTCTTAATATGTCAAGGTAATTGGACTGATAGATTGATTATATGCAAATACTCGTCTGCTTAAAATAAATCTACTCTTTTGTTTAATTTAAAGCCCTATGAGTGCTTTCCGCCTCTATATCTGGACACTATGCTGGTGTAATGCATTATTGGGCCAGTACAGAATTTTATTCCAGGGCTGCTTATTGTTCCCATTTCGGCCCGGAGTATAACCATTAGATTACTATATTTTTTATTCTGACTCTGGTCTTTTTGTACAACATCCATTTGGCAGTGAATGTAACAAGGAAAATCATGAGTTTGTTCCGGTGTATATATAAATGTATGAAACAGGAAAAGAAACCCATTGATGGTTCACAGACAGACGAGCTGGGATAAACCGTTTGTAATGATTGAACCAATGTGCACATTCTGACAGATACTCCCCCTCCTAATCCTGCTGCAGGAGAGGCATAATGGGGGCAGGTCAGAATCACCGTATGACTCTTCACAACAGTGATCTCTGCAGTTATTGTTATTATTGGAATTTATATAGCCCCAACTCATTCCGCAGCGCTTAACAATATTCTTCATATGGTGTATACTAAAAAAAAACAACTGAAAGGTAGTGACATTAACACAGGACAGGAGCTGGGCTGACTCACAGTGCAAATCTCTCTCCCCTTCTCCTCTCTAGGTATATCATTTTGGTTAGGACTAGATTAAGGACATAGCAAATAGCAACTGCTGCCCAGGAGTGAATCTCCCACCAGCTTTGGGCCGTTCATGACAGGTATGGTATGTTTAGAGAAACCCTAAATAACTTTAATCCTAATTAAAATATCACATAATATGATGGATACATAAACTGCATAATGGGTAATATTATGCCATGTAAGGTTTCCAAAGTCATCCATAAACCACTCAATCTTCACTTATGATGATGATTATTATTATTAAATATGTGCACAAACACACACATTTGCACAGACACCTATCTAGTTCCTGTTTTACTCCCGAAAAAGCTAAAGTCCTCTTTACATGATGCTGAAACTATTCCTATGGTATTTTCTGGAATCCTAATTCAGTAACATTATGTGGCTGATGCAGATTGTTTTTAGGACACATTCAGGCTGCAAACTTGTTATTCTACAACCTAAAAATTGAATATTGTACTGAGCTGTTCCACGCAGGTGTATAATATTAAGCATCAATGCTTAACCCCATCAGAATGTTCCACAGCAGCCTCCACAGTAGCAACGCAAAGATGTCATTAGACTGGAATGTCTTAACATTTTGGTGTGAGCAGGGTTTAATCCCTGTTCACACCTGGGGCCCCTCTACCAGCTGAGGTCATATGAGTGGCCACAGACGGATAGGTGAGCCAAATGCTGCACTCCAACTAAACTCTGTACAGATCCCTTTAAATCCCCGTAGCTGAGGGATAGCGTTAAGCCGCAGTGATTCTGAGACTGCACTCAGGGAGACTGAAGAGACCCAGACAAGGTCTCCCTGTATGACCCTTGCAAATTGTGATGTTACTGGACATTCCCAATCATAATTCACAGCTGATCAGTTTTTATGAATCAGCAGGTTTCATTGTTGTTATTCTTAAAGGAATACTATAGTGCCAGGAATACAAAACTGTATTCCTGGCACTATATCTCCCCCTGCCCTCTCCCCTTCCCCCAAGTGTAAATAAAGGGTTAAAAACCCTTTACTTACATTTTCCCAGCTCCGATGTCCCTTTGCGCTGGACTGATGTTACGTCCCCTCTGGCGGCCTGCGAATCCATACTTTCCTATGAGGAAGAATCTGACACTGGGTTTCCTCATGCAGAGCGCGTGGACGTTCAGCGTCAGAAACTGGACCAAAGGGTCTGTTTCGATTCAGGAAGCCCTCTAGTGGCTGTCTGGTAGACAGTCACTTTGGGCAGACTTAGAACTACAATGTAAACTAAGTGCATAAGGGACCCTGCACCCAGATCACTTCAATTAGCTGAAGTGGTCTGGCTGCCTACAGTGTCCCTTTAAATGAAGGTTTTATACAGCATCCTTCTAAAACATAAATATAACATTGTACACAGGACTGTCAAGATGTCAGTTGGTGGGGTACATTTTTTAAATTTTGAGACTTTATTGAAATATGCAAAGCATTTGCAGACTATGAAAAGTTACAAATGTGACAATGAATTGTAAACTTACGTAAGTCAAATGAGACATTGGCAACAGTCTAGAACAATAAATAAACAAAATGTTCTCTCCAACTCAAAATTAAAAAATTTTAAAAAAAACTTTAGAGAAGTGGTGGAGTTTGTTGACAATAAATTAATTAAAATAGCTCATAAAAAAAACAATAGAATTTTTTTTTTTAATATTTGGACAGTAGCACGTAACTATACATGACCAAAAGAGGGCAGAGTAATACACGACACATCCAGCTCTATATGTTCCAACTAAGGTGGTTTAGTCATCATAATGTACCGAAGACGGTGAAAAACATCACGAAGCAGAAATATGGGAGTCATTCAGCTGATTATGTAGACAGTAAGTGAGTGTTTCACTACACGGATCACAAGAAGAATTCTCTTTGCACTGCAGCTTTTCATTACAGATGTTTTTTATAAATTGCGGCAGAGAATATATTTAAAAAACGAAATGTGGCATTTTATTTTCTCAAGCCTCACAGCTTCATTAATTCCAAGACAAACAAGTTCATAAAATAAGAACAACAACAACAGTATCTACTGCCAGATGATTTGACAACCGTGCACAATATATTGACATCTCATAAATAACTGGTCTGTATGAAAATATATAGAAATGTATGCCTTACAAATTAAAGGGTTACTCCAACCACCATGACCACTTCAGTGATTTGAAGTTGTCATGTTGGTAGGAATCTGTATGTGCTGCGTTTCCCCTGGCAACAGACGTATTGAGCTTCTCCATTGCAAGGAGTGCATGTATGAGGAAGACCCTCCTCACTTCCCGGTAAGCTCAATATTGCTAGGTCTTTGTTTTTTATAGAATTTTCAATCCTATCTCCGCCAGAGCTTTGTCTCGTGCTTGATTCCAAGTAACGAAAAAATTGCTATGTCAATGGGTTAAGCCTTCCCCCTAAGCCTTCCCCCTATTTCCTCTAGTGGCTGTCTCATTGACAGCCACTAGAGGCGCTTGCGTGCTTCTCACTGTGATTTTCACAGTGAGAGCACGCCAGCGTCCATAGAAAAGCATTGTAAATGCTTTCCTATGAGACCGGCTGAATGCGCGCGCAGCTCTTGCCGCGCGTGCGCATTCAGCCGGCGGGGCGTAACGGAGGAGGAGAGGAGGCAGAGAGCTCCCCGCCCAGCGCTGGAAAAAGGTACGTTTTTAACCCTTTCCCCTTTCCAGAGCCGGGCGGGAGGGGGTCCCTGAGGGTGGGGGCACCCTCAGGGCACTATAGTGCCAGGAAAATGAGTATGTTTTCCTGGCACTATAGTGGTCCTTTAAACATGACATAATTGAAGCAAAATCAGTTATGAGTGTGGAAGCACCTCTAGTGGATGCCAGACGACAGCCATTAGAGCTGTGTTTAACACTGCTATATCTACTGGAAACAGCAAGATTTTACATTGCAGGGCTAAAACGGCAGGGGTCTGCACCCAGACTACTTAATTGAGATGAAGTGGTCTAGGTGCCTTTAGTTTCCCTTTAGATATGATTGTTGATGAATGGTCTAATGGAATAAACCATCATACTAAGGAATATTAACTTACTTAGTACATTTTAACAAAACATTTTTAGCACAAACAAACAAAAAATATTATCAGAGGAACAAGTTGACCCCTTTCACTAAAAATTAAATAATTACATTGATATATAAATAGTTGATGCTTACATTATGAACCATTATACTTCATTTGGATATTTCATTATCCTTTGGACATTTGATTAATAGTTTAGAGCGGTGTTGACAACTGCTAATAGATTAGGTCAAGTTTACATAATTCTTGGCAAAATTTGGCTGCAAAGTATTTTCCCCAAAATGTGTCCTTTTTAAATATATATATTAAGGTAAGATAGGGACTAATTCATCATCATCAACCATCTTTCTGAATATGATCTATGGCTCAATGGGAGCATGGTTAAGTTCCCAGGCCTTTTGGCCTTTTTCTAACAATACATTAAGTGCAGCATGACTTTTAGTTCAATGCAGCTATGGATGCCGATCTATTAGGCTTTATTTATTATTGAGCTGAATGGGTCAAATGAATTTTACGTCCCATTTTACTGTGTTGATGGACAGGAATGGCTAATATACATTTTGCTTTTTCTCACATAATACAAACAGACACAAAGTTCTACTTAGAATTGTATGAGCTGCATCTTCATTAAGATTACATCTTTTCCTATGTAATATCTGAAGTCTTAATTAAAATGTGATCTAATTAAAGCTGCAATATGATATGCATTTTAAAAAAAAAGATAGTTTTGTAACAATCATGTTATGGGCAGTGACAAGGGGGTGACATGGGTTGTTCCTTTTAAATGAGCTGCCTGTAGAGTGATCAAAAGACACTTTTGAAGACTTCCATTTCCCTGATCCAGTTTCAGTGTAATCAACGTTGTTCTTCTGTACAGTAATTAAAGTGGCGAGATATGTGCTTGATGCTGTGTCTATTCCAGTGTTAGCCTTAATGTGCTTTGATACTCTATTATGGACATGAACATCACAAAGGAAATCTATTCTTACAATTCAGTTTTTAGTTTATGTAACAAATCTTGCTGGTCTATTTTTTCAGTTAGTTCAAACCAACGATTGAATGCTAACAAGGCCACATTTTTAGCAGCCACAGCACTCATTTCCACAGAGGTAGCAGCCCACTCAACACCACTTGAGTAATAAAGGCCATCGTGAAGAATAATGGGAGGCAAAGTCCGTGAAGAGCCTGTGGATCCATAGCTCGGGAATGCCTGCCATTCTATTACCTGTACTGAGTAGTAGGACTTAAAAAGAGTTTTTAGTTCCCGTCTTTCCAGAGGTCGTGGTGACAGCACTCTCCAGACTGCAGCTTCCTGTGGGGGCTTCCTTCGAAAACCAACAGTGACGTTGATGGGGCACAGGTTTTCTAGGCTGTGATAGAACGAGTCTGGGCTGTCCGTGGAAAGAATGCTGGAGAACGGAAAAAGCTTTGGGTCGGTGAAGCCAAAATAAGATGAATTGAGGTAGCCATGAACAATGGATGACACAACACGATGGTAGGAATCTATCGGTAGCTGGAGAGGAGGCTGAAAATTACGAAATGAGATAGCGTATCCAGTCTTGTGGAGAGGAGCAGCCACAATCACAAGATCATAGAATTCTGAACCAAGGGCCCCTTCTTGATCATAAAGGACTTCATAAAGGGGTTTCTTCTCTGCAATGGAAGCAGAAATAAAACGACCGGTGTAACAAAGGTAGATAGAAACAATGTAGTACATACAGAAAATCAATACTGTTACACAAATTATTAATTGTAAATACATAAACATTGTAACTATTACTGCTAATTATTTCAACATTCAAGAAAGTTCAAATATTACACAATCATGTACAATTTAAAATGCGTGCAAGAAGTAGTGTTCAGCGCCCTCTGCTGTCTGATGCATAAATTGCTACCTGCAGTACATGTCTAAAGATGGTTAACAGAGATCTGTTAGCCTTCCTTAATCACCTAATCTAATCTAATTATGCCAATGCTACCATTCGTACTGCTACCTGTTCTTTTATTCCTTTCATTCCATTTAAAAAATGGGATGGTTTTATCATCCAGAAATTAAAATGACTCGAATTGTATATCAAGCTGTTAAATTCTGATTTTACATTATGCTTTGTATGTTTCATGCTAACATCTTAATAAAACAGAGATTGACAAAACAAAGAAATAGCTCACAGTGAAGTGAAATATGTTAAGCAAAGATCATAAAGAGCAATGGACATTTTACAACAAGGTAACAAGATAACACCGCAAGGCTTAATGTAGCAAAGCAAACTGCCACTAGTGAGTTAAACATGAGTCAATTGCTTACTAGAAATTAAATATGGATTGCACATATACTGTGACGTTGACATGGGCCAAATAGTTATGGCTAGATGATTGGGCCAGATCATATCCAAAACGACAAATCTTGTAGGGTGTTCCCAGTATGCAGTAGTTAGCACCTACCAAAAGTGGTGCAAGGAAGGACAACCAGTGAACTGGCTTCAGGGTCATGGGTGCCCAAGGCTCATTGATACAAGTAGGGAGCGAAGGCTAACCAGTCAGTCAAACAGAAAATCTACTGTAGCTCAAATTGCTGAAAATCTTAATGCTGGCCATGATAGGGTACACATAGATAGTTTTATTGGACATGTGACAAATATATTCCCTTCTACATACGGCATCCCTGTATATCTATTTATTGAAGGGTTGTGTGCACAGGTGGCAGCATTGGAGTAGGTAACAGACTGCTTCTACTGTTTTTATTTTAACTTCTACAATTAAGTCCAAGTACACACAGTCACTATGATATATCCACTGGTGTATCCCTTTTAATGACCAGGGGTCTCATCAATTTTCTGTTTGATGAGATAATAGTATCCGCTTTAATGGGGCATATGGAACTCTCCCATTTACAATGCATTAAGCAGTTTATTTAAAGAAACATGCTAAATGGTTATGGTGCCAGGACTGCTCTGGTGCCCCTTACCTTCACAAAAATAGTGATTTAGATTTGAAAATTATGTGTGGGCCTGCTGGGCACTTGATCCTTCCTCCACTGAAAGTGGGTAGCTCTCTGCTCTGAGCTAGCCCATTGTTGCATGGCATATCTCATTGGTTGAGAGTGCCCAGCTGACACTGTCAATGAGCCAGCTCTACATAGCAGGGCTTAACACAGAAGATCCCCATGTAGGAGTTTCCAGCCCTCAATGGAGGTGGTGACCCCAGCATCAGACACCAGGTAAGTTGTCAAACTGTTAAATGGTTTTGAGACCTGAGCGGTGATATACTGAAGGGCAAGTTATTAAGTTTCTCTAAGCTTTTGTCCATTCTCAGAATTCTAAAATTCTTTGTTTTTGTTGCAATCCATTAAGGGACACTATAGTCACCAGAACAACTACAGCTTATTGACTTTGTTCTGGTGAGTAGAATCATTACCTTTAGGCTTTTTGCTGTAAACGGTCTTTTCAGAGAAAATGCAGTGTTTAAATTACAGCCTAGTGATAACTTCACTGGCCACTCCTCAGATGGCTGTTAGAGATCCTTCCAGGGTCGTGGCTGCCTAAAATGCATCCAAACATTCAGTATCTCCTCCCTCTGCATGCAGACACTGAACTTTCCTCATAGAGATTCATTGATTCAATTCATCTCTATGAGGAGATGCTGATTGGCCAGGGCTGTTTTTGAATCATGCTGGTTCTGCCCCTGATCTGCCTCCTTGTCATTCTCAGACAATCCTATGGAGAAGCATTGTGATTGGATCAGGCTACCACTTCTGATGATGTCAGCAGACTGTTGGTTTTTTGTTGTTTTTTTGAGGCAAACAGCATGCAGATCTACAGCTTCAGGCTTGAATACAGTAAGATTTCAACTATAATTATGAAGGCATGAGGGGCCCAGGGGGGCTAGATGGTGGTGTTAACACTATAGGGTCAGGAATACATGTTTGTGTTCCTGACCCTATAGTGATCCATTAACTTGGCTCTCCCCAAGTTAAAAGGCTAATCCAGACATGGACCCCGTGCTCACTGTGCCTAGAGTGATATCAGCTACACTGCACTGAGGAGGCCCAAAGAAGGCCGAAACGATTGTCTAGGGTTGCTGTATCTCTCGTGCAAAGGGAACTTGTTGGCATTTCAATTCTGGACTGCCCGTACGGGTGGGACCAGTCTAATATGCTTCAAATATGGTCTCTCTGTAATGGCACAAGTGAGCAAAAGTGATTTTGAGACCTGAGCGGGGATTTACCGAAGCGCAAGCTATTAAGTTTCTCCAAGCTTTTGTCCGTTCTCAGAGTTCTCATTTTATTTGTAAGTTGTCAAAATGTTTAACTACTTACACTGGGGTGGTGCCAGGGAACTTCTTGCACTACAGTTATCGGCAGCTTCATTGAGAAGTCATTAGTCAACCTAAAACAAATGCTCCGGATGGCTGATGTTAATTCTGTGCATGTTTGGGCTTTGTTATCAGCACACAGAGCACACTGGAAATAGACAGCCAATGTCCCGTCTCCCTCAATGCTGCCCATGTCATCCCCTCTGCTTGCTTTCCCCTCAAGAGGAGGGGTGACATCAGCAGAAGAAGATCAGGCTGCAGGAAGAACTTGGCCTTGGATTGAAGTGAACTTTAGCTATTTTATTTTTTCCATGTTGGGAAGGTTGGGGGCAGAGCAGAACCAGGATAGAAAGGGCTACTCTGACAAAGACTGTGCTTTCTATGAAAAGTTTTTGATTGAAGAAACCTTTCATTGAACATTATAGTGTTTCGAATACAAAACTGTATTCCAAGCACTACAGTGTCCGTCTGGCTCTGCTGCCACACTGTGCAGTCAAGAAAGGGATAAAAAAAAATTTCCACTTACCTGATTCCAGCTCCGAGGTGCCTCGGCACTGGATGGGGCTCCTCCTCCCGTGACTCCACGGAGATCCGGGAACCAAACTCGCACAAATACCACAAATGAGTAGGATCAAAGAGATAAAATACTGTACCTGAGCTGTGCAGAGAGATTGCCTTCACCTTTGCATGGAGTACATTGGCTTTGGTCATTTTCAGCAGTCCTGAACAAACCAACTTATTACCTCCTTCCACGGCCCACATGTTCCCCTGAGCTCCAGCCAAAGACATGGCCCCTGTTGGGGGTTCAGAATAAGATTGTGTCACTCCACCCTGTTCTCAAACTTTTAGCATGAAAAGACAAAACAGAGATGATGCATCTTTTTTACACAGTTATGTGTAAAAGTTAAAAAAGTAGGCAATGAGATTTAAACACTGGGACAGAGCTGGTTGTAGTAGTAACAGAGGAATACATTTATAGCTGCCATGTATAAAATTAAATGTGGAAGAAAAGGGCTGCTGTTATTTAAAATTAACTTGTTAAAAATAATGAGTGGCTGCCCATTAATAAGATCTTGTAATGAATGGGACTCACCAACTACCAATAACATAAATTAAAGGGATACTTTAGTGCCAGGCATACAAAGCTGTATTCATGGCACTGTCGCTCCCCCTGCCATCCCCCTCCCAGGTGAAAAAAGGGTTAAAAACCCTTTATTTACTCACCCTATTCCAGCATGATGTCCTTCGGCACTGGGTCAAAGATCCTCCTCTAACGCCCGCGATGAGTGGGCTCTAATAGGCATGCGCGGCAAAACAATGCTGAATCAATGCTTTCCTATGGGGAAAAATATGATGCTGGAGTTCTTCATGCAGAGTGTGAGGACGTCCAGCATCAGATATCGGACCAAAAGGTCCGTTTTAATTCACGAAGGACTTGTAAACATTGCAGTTTCTATGGAACTGCAATGTTTTACATTGCAGCACTAAGGGCAATAGGGACACTGCACCCAGACCAGTTCAATGAGCTGAAGTTGTCTGGGTGCCTACAGAGTCCCTTTAAAGAAACACTACAATGAAAATCATTTGTAACCATTTAGTAGATGAACCCCCAAAGGAAACATGTATACATTTTCTTTTGCAAGTTTTTTTTGGGGGTATATAAAGTATAAGCTTACAACAGCTACTGCAAGCCCTGCCCTCTACCATAAGCTTGACCAACCAGAGACTAGTATAACAAGAAGTTTTAGCAGGGCTAGCACTGGTCAGTGTGCTCAATGAAGTGGTCTGGGTGCCAGGTCCATCTAGGGTTAACCCTGCAGCTGTGAGAAACTGCTATGTTTACATTAGGGTTAAACCAGCCTCTAGTGTCTCATTGACAGCCGCTAGAGGCCCTACCGCGCTTTTCACTGTGATTTTCACAGTGAGAAGATGCTGCCGTCCATAGGAAAGCATTGAGAAATGCTTTCCTATGTACTGATTGAATGCTCGCGCGGTTCTTGCCGCGCATGCGCATTCAGAGGATGACGTCGTAAGAGGGAGGAGAGATCCCGGCGCTGGCGAAAGGTAATAATTTAACCCCTTCCTCCCCCTTCAGCCCGGCGGGAGTGGGACCCTGAGGGTGGGGGGGACCCAAAGACCCTATAGTGCCAGGAAAACGAGTTTGTTTTCCTGGCACTATAGTGGTCCTTTTAGCATGACAGAATAAAAGTACAAATTATAGGGTTAGTCCAAACACTATGACCAATTCAGAGATTTGTGGTAGTTATGGCGCTTGAAGTATATATGTAGTGTGTTTTGCTATAAAATGCTGTACAGACATTTATCCCTTTCCTGCTGGAGGTGTAACAAGAGTTCCTGGATGGCTAATATCAATTCTGTGCACATTGGATTTCTGTGATAAGTATGCACAGCATGCTGGCACCAGGAATCCAATAGTGGCACGGCCCACCCTCTGTGCCGCCCATTTCCTTATTGTCAAATTACAGAATAAGGAAATCCACAACATAATTTTATTTTTTCTTGTTTACACACCCACTAGTGCTGGGATGGCAACTGATTGTCCATAATTGGCTTTAATCACTGCACTGATGACATCGTCAATGAAGCGCTGTGTCACTCCAACTCCCAATAAAGATTCTGCAACAGATTTCTGCGTCATATTCACAAAATGCTCTCCTCCCAGTGAGCGCAACAGCTCCTCTATACTGGAGAATGCATATTCATGTGCCTGGTACTTATAAATCCTAAATAAACAAAAAAAAGAATGTAATCATGTAAAAAGAAAAGTCTATTTATTTGGTATTTGCCATTGCTCATGACAAGAAAATAATTTAAAAATCCCAAAAGTAGTATGACAGGGTCTTAGTGTCATTAATTCAACATTTAGAATTGTATAGCTACATCTATCGATATTCCTTCATTAGACCTTCCTTTGGAAATTATAAACCATTTGTTGGATATTTGAGTAAAAATTTAACTATTTTAAAAGCAGCCAAGGAAGCCGTATATAAAAATCAGTTTCATACATATGTAAGCATTCAATGCTATATATATATAGATGTAGAAAAGGAAAATATATTCCCTTTACTAAGTCTAAATCAGGGGTGCCCAAAAGGTAGATCCCCAGATGTTGTAGAACTACAACGCACATGATGCACTGTATGCAATTTGAATGCCTTTAGAACAGGCTTTCCCAAACTCCGGCCCTCCAGATGTTGCTGAACTACAACTCCCATGATTCTATGAATTAAATAGATAGGCTTTAGGATGTTCAGCAACATCTGGAGGGCCACAGTTTGGGGAAGCCTGCTTTAGAATGACAAAGCATCATGGAAGTTGTAGTTTTAAAACATCTGCGGATCTACCTTTTGGGCACCCCTGGTCTAAATGATCTCCTGAACTTTTACTATTCCTAAATTCTGTTACTCCCATAAAATAGGTTATTACAATTACCACAACAATATTATTGCATCCATGGACTAATATGGCTGCTTATAAAACCTCAGTGTGACCATGCGAATGCGTAAACACACACACACTTGTTGGCCACTTTATTAGCACATCTTTAAATCAGCTCACTAATGTACAAAATTAGTCAATACCGTAACAGAAACCCAATGCATAATGTGAAAAGTTTGCAGACCAGGACAAAACAAAAGGACATTAAGTATTTGGCATAGCAAGTTCAATTTAGAAACTTACAATAGTTTCTGTAAGTTTCTATAGCAATATGGGAGATGTGCACTTGACTTTGAAATTGGTTTAGTATAAAACACACCCAAGCAATAATAATATGAACATAAGAATAAAAAAATAAAAGAGAAAAAAAATGTACCTCATGAACTTTTCCATGACTTCCTCAACCCACATCTGCAGCCTCAGAAAGCTGATGCCATAGTGCCACCACAGACGAAAAAGATTTAGGAGATACCAGTCTGTCTCCTCCAGAACTAGTTGATCACCATTGAATATGGCGCTCTTACCAGGTACGTCCCTCCGGTGCCTGAGTCCTGGGTGATCAGAGAGAGAACATGGTTAAATGCTCATTTTCACCTAAAAAGGCCTATGCCATTACTGGGTTGACAATACATTAGGCCATATTGAATGTATTTTCTGATGAATACACATTTCCAAGCTACAGCAAACATTGGTAATGCAAGAAGTCTTCACAGATTACATTTAGTTTTTTTCCTTTTAGGTAAAGCTTCCTTTCCACCTGATTTTCTTACCAGTAAGATGCCCCTTTTCCTTCAACAAGCAAGCAATTATCATGAAGAAGACAAATCACAAGACTATTTATGGGTTTGTGTCCTATACCAGTTTGTAGCATTGAATCATCTTAAAGGGGCCCTTTAGCACCATAACCACTACAGCTCATGGTACAGTTTATGAGGCAAAGGATCTTTGGGTGCCATTGACCATCTCTCTCCTGCGGCTCAACTGCTACAAAAGTGCAACTTAGCCATCCAACATGGAATGGAAATTATAAGATGAGCTAAGTGTTGCCTAAGTGTTCTAAGCCTGTCATTACCATTAACAGAAGGACGACTAATTTAGAAGTTAATTTTCCTATTCCAATGTCTTATAACTAAACTTGTAGTTTCTATGCACATTATTGAGTTGAAGCCTCGTGATTCATTGTTTGGTAAATCGGTTTAGGTTACGCCAGTATCAATTTCTCAATACACTGGACAGAATTACATTCCTTGCTCAGTTGCATTCCCCCAAAACTTCCTAAGCTTTAAAGTACCCCCTGCAAATTCCTATGGATGACAAACTACATTATACAAATCATTCATTCTGCAGAATCAAACTGTCAAGTTGCACGATTTGGTGTATTCTAGTTCATCAAGGATTAGGAGTTTTGGAGTGTTCAACAGCAGTTCTCCAGATGTTTTGGAGTACATTGCCATAAAACTCTTCGATCCAGACTGAGAATTACAGTCTGGATCGAAGTCTGTCTCGGGTGGCTGTCTCCCATGCAGCCAATGGAGGTGTTTCCTGCATCCAAATGGACATTTGGGCCGGTATCCGACGCTGGATGTCCTCATGCTCAGCATAAGGACATCCAGCGTCAGATTTTTCCACATAGGAAAACATTGATTCAATGCTTTGCTATGGGGAGGTCTAATGCGCGCAAGGCCTTTGCCGAGCATGCACATTAGTGCCCATTCGTCGCGGGTCGTCGGAGGGTGCAGAGTCTCTACCCAGCGCGAAGGACATTATCGCTGGGATACGGTAAGTAAATAAAGGGTTTTTTAACCCTTTATTTAACGCAGAGTAAAGTGACATAAAGGAGGGGTAGCGATAGTGTCAGGAATACAGCTTTGTATTCCTGGAATTATAGTATCCCTTTAAACTGGGCCTCATGCCTACATAAGACTGTTTGCTTTATGACTTACCCAGAAGTTTAACAAAGTCCTGCATGTGGAGATTCAGTGAATGGATTGATGGACTTCCTGACTCATACAGCTGATTATTTACAGTCAGGGTGGCCAATCGACCCCCAATACGATCTGCTTCATACACATCAATCTGCACCTGGGGGCCAAATTGCTGGTGTAGAAAGTAGGTTACAGCGGATCCCCCAACACCTGCACCTACCACAGCTGGGAATAGGAACAAGAAAAAAAAAAAAACTTTCGAATTAGCTATGGTTACAGATCATCGAAACAAAGCTATACATCCTACCAGACCTTATATCAGCACTTCTGGGGACACAGTCATACGTATTAACAGTGGATATTTGTGTTGCACTGTGTGCATCAGACTGGGGATAATGCATGTTTTAAATAGTTTTACCAGCAGACATTATGTTATTTAACACAGGATTTTAGTCTTAGTCTGACTGGTACTGTTAAACACTGCAATCAATGTCTGTCCCTTTACACAGATATAGTGTGGGCACTACTGCTTTACATTCACCAACATATATACTCGAGATACATACATAATCAAGAGTGTTTAAATGGCTCATTGTTTTGTATTTTGATTAACTTATTTTATATATGACACTGCATACACAACATTGTTTATTCTGTAATTATAAGTATATCGAGCAATGAAAAACATGGTGTTCTTTAAAGAGGTCAAAATGTAAAGTCACCATGCAAGCCCTATTATAATAAAAATGTACAGGTGAAATAACATGCAAAAAGTATGATTATTCTACAGCTATGTTGGACGGTCGAGTGTTGGCATAAGGCACATCCACAATAGATGGTTTATATAGTCCATATGGGATGTGGATGAGCATATAGCTCAGTCATTGAAGAGACAAAAATAAAAAAATATTATTTGAAATAAACAACATTTACTATCAATATGGATGATGAAATACGCAGATTATAATTTAATTATTTGAAATTATATATATATATATATATATATATATATATATATATATATACATACATACATACATATATATATATATATATATATATATATACACACACACACATACATACATACATACATACACCTACCTGTATTGGACCTCATTCACTATATTTCTGCACCAGACATTATTTTGGTTCTTTGGAAGTTAAATAGTGCAGCATAATAACTATATACATTCATACATTTTTGGGATTTCTTTTTTCTGGCATGAGGGGTGTGGTTAATTAGGGAGATTTATGTTGCAGCATGCTGCAAAAAAAAAAAAAGTTTATTTTATGCAAAAACTATAAAGATGTGAGAATGGTAAAAAATATATACCATATTAATGAGGCCAAATCCTTTCAAATGAACTAAATTTGTATTGGTGCCTGGAGTTTCCATTCAAGCCATTTTTCCAGCTCTGCTATTGTGTCCTAAAATTTATATACAATTTAGACTACATTGCCAATTGATGAATGGTATAAATACATACACACACACACAAATGCAACCCTTTTTGGACATGGTTAGTGAATTTTCTGGTTATTTTAACAGCCCTTACATCTCATAGGTCCTGAATTACATGAAAGAACCTGGCAGTATTGAGATGCTCTATGTGACTTGTGCTAGATGTATGAGAAGGTATGCAGTTAGAGTTAGAGCCAACCCCACTATAATTCCTGAACACATATCTGTTCCTTACTGATGGGCAGCAAATGAAAAGTGCTGCCCTGCATCTAGCTGCTTGAAGATTTCTCACCTACTACTAAAGCCTTGTGTATATACCATTCATTACAAAAGAGGAAAGATGCTGAATGACAATGGCCAAAGCATGCATGCATGCATGCATACATACATACATACATACATACAGAATGTGTGTGCATGCATGCATACATACATACATACAGAATGTGCATGCATGCATACATACATACATACATACATACATACAGAATGTGCATGCATACATACATTATATACACGTACATCCCATACATCCCATACATAATATACACGTACATACTATGCATACATACAGAATGTGCATGCATACATACATGCAGAATATGCATACATACATACATACATGCATGCAGAATGTGCATACATACATGCAGAACATACATACATACATGCAGAATGTGCATACATACATACATACATGCAGAACGTGCATACATACATACATACATACATGCATGCAGAATGTGCATACATACATACATGCAGAATGTGCATACATGCAGAATGTGCATACATACATACATGCAGAATGTGCATACATACATTATATACACGTACATACTATGCATACATCCCATACATACATACATACATACATACATGCATGCATACTGTACATGCACACATCCATCATGTATGTACCATGCAGAACACCCTCTTTCTATGTCATTACCGATCTTGCCAGGGAGATCTGAAGGTCCTTGGTGTCCGGTGCAGAGCTGGAGGAGGGGGGCTGTCAGTAAGAGGAATGCAGCCATGCTGAGGATGCAGGATGCTGAGCGAACCATGCCACTGGAAACAACCATTCCACTACTACAAACAGGGCTCGGCCAGCAGTGCGAGAGCGAGGCTTGGAACGCAAGCTTCCTGTACCTCTCTAACTGCGCGTGCGCAGAGTTATGTGAATCCTCAGCTGGCCACTAGTTCAGGGTCATCATTCATAATACATGCATTTAAACGAGTTACACTTATTTCATTAAAGAAACAAACAAACAAAAAAAAACCAAATATACATTGTTCAGAACTGTAATGAAATAAATAATGCCCTACATTGCTCACATGTTTTGTGTAGGTATTGTGCAGCATGGTGAAATGACTGGCTAGCTTCCAACATCTCCTCCATGTTTTACTGTAAACAGCTGTAATCACATGCTGTCAGGATAAACATAAATAGTGCTTCCAGCTGTATGTAGAATTCACATACTGCTAAAATGAAACAGTTCATGAAGGAATATATCCACTAGTGCCCACTGTATTATTAACGTGTCATTAGTTTAAAAATTAGTTTATAGACTACATATTTCCCAAGTGTCACTATTATGGGCTCATATTCCTCTGTCCCTCTTTTCTAGGAACTCTCTATATCAGTGATGGCGAACCTTTTTGAGCCGAGTGCCCAAACCGTAATACATGCCAATTTATTGAGGTTTAAGTTTAAAAAAACATCTCATACAGTTGTCCGAACTAATCAACATCTGTGTGTGTATTAAGCAGTTTGTGTGTGTGCTCGGCAGTCTCTCTGTATGTGTATTTAGCAGACTGCTGAATACACACAGACTGCTGAGTACACAGTCTGCTAAATACACACACACACACACAGACTGCTAAATACACACACACACACACACACACAGACAGACTGCCGAGTACACACACACACAGACAGACTGCTGAGTGTACACACACTGCATTGATTGGGGTACAGTGTATATGTTTGTGTGAGCGGTGATGTGTTTGTGTGTGGGTTGATGTGATGTGTGTGTGTGTGGGGGGTGATGTGAGGTGGTGTGTGTGTGTGTGTGGGGTGATGTGAGGTGGTGTGTGTGTGTGTGGGGTGATGTGAGGTGGTGTGTGTGTGTGTGGGGTGATATGTGTAGGGCAGGGGTGCTGTGTGTATGTCGTCCCCTCTCCCCCCCCCACTGTTTTCTTTCCCCCCATCCCTCCCTCATTTTTTTCTCCCATCCCACACTGTTTCCCCCCCATATCTCTCCCTCAGTCCCCCCCCCATATCTCTCCCATCCCACACTCAGTCCCCCCATATCTCCCTCAGTCCCCCCATATCTCTCCCATCCCACACTCAGTTCCCCCCCATATCTCTCCTCTTCGTTCCCCCATATCTCTCCCTCAGTCTCCCCGCCCCCGGAGCTCAGTTTCCTGTACCCGGCGGACAGGAAGTGCTCTCTCTGTGAGCACTTCATTTCTGTCCGCCCGGGTACAGGAAACATAAGTTCCTGTACCGCGGTGCGCTCGGCCACACTACTCAGAGTGCCTGGCAGGAGGGAGCGCTGTGCGCTATGCGCTCACCTCCTGCCGGTCACTCCGGCTTTGCGCCCGCCGGGCCGGTGCGCCCTAAGGCGGCCACTTGTGCCGCCTTATGGATGCGCCGGCGGAGCGCACCCTCCCTCCCTCTGGCGACCTATGGCCGCGTGCCCACAGAGGGGGCTCGGCGTGCCACCTGTGGCACGCGTGCCATAGGTTCGCCACCACTGCTCTATATGGTTGGTGTGTCTGATTTCACAGCAATTGTACTCATAGCAATGTGTCTTTAAACTACTATAAGTAAGAATTAAAAGAGGACTGCTAGATATTCAAATAATGTAGCATAAATACAAAGTGCTATTGTGTATCCAACACAGAATGTCAGCTTGTAGCTAAATACAGTATAACTAGAATTGCCAGAGTAAAAACATTAAAAAGGGAAGTAACAATAGCAATGAACAATAACCATCCCAGGGATATCTGATGTGATTGTTGGATAATATTCTCAATCTTAGTGCTAAATCTTCAAGGGCATCTAAATATCGGCACGCATAAATATAAATTACAAACAAAAATCCCTGATTGTGCTTTCAAGGGTACCTGAGTTAACAATCCAACAGATGATTTCAATAACCGTATACATGTAAAAGTAGCAGATTCGATTTCTACAATTCCTAAAGTCGCCATCAGAGGATCCCACGTTAATTGCAATATAGTGCACACATCATTATCTGATGAATAAGGATTTGAAATAGAGCATTTCGAGCATGTGTCACTGGTCAGGCAGCTCTTCTAGGGGGCATTAGACTTTTAGGAAGTATAAAGTGACTCTGTAAGTCACAGTCAGGGGAGGTGAGGCTTGGGATGCATAAACAAAGTTGGTTAACTCCTAAACGGCAGATAATTGAGCAATGCAGTAACTGCAAGCCCGTAATCTATACACCAAAACCACTTCATTAAGCTAAAGTTGTTTTGGTGCTCAGAATGTCCCTTTAAGGCCTAAATAGCCGAACTGAAAACAATTGACTTGGAGAATTTTTCTAATTCAGCTATTTTGGTCTAAATTTAGAAATTCCCTTTGAATCCACTTTGAATCCACTTTGAATTCGTGGCAATTCTCACTTTAGTCAGTATCCCTGCTACTGTCTGTATGAGAAGATCTAAGAAGGATCCCATGGGTCATTCTAGAGAACATGCATGAGAACACACCAGATAAAATGGAACTATAACTAGAAGATAAGGACGGAGAGCTTCACATACGTATAGCTCATTTAGAGCTTATTTTGATTTATTCAGAGTTGGTTTTCTTGAATTCAAATAATTGTAACATACGAAGTCCCACAAGTTTCCATAAATAATCCTTTAATTTGCTCTACCATATATGTAGCTTAGTAAATCACAACCATTCCAATTCAAACAATATAATACAATACACAGACAGACTTGCATCTACACAGATCAGTACAACACAGAGATTGATCACTGCCAAATGAAAAACACACAGAAGGACTTTAAGCAGGTCTACCCTAATTTCAGGAGTAATTTCAGGCTGTCCTGCCGGATCACACCCAGCACAGAGTTAGTACATCATTAGATCATGCAGAGAACGCTTCAGCAGTGCTCTGGGCTTGGTCTGCTCTGAGTAGCGCCAGCCGGGAGGCTGTGTTAGCCTGGCGTGCGTTCACACAAGACTGCTATGTCCCCTTTCTGGGCAGCAGTGTCCCCTTCCTGGATGGGATTGCCCATTATGGGCATCACCAGTAATACATTTGCATTGTGGCATCCTCTTTATACCTATCCACCCCTTATCCTTCTTTTATACCCACCAAAGTTAAGAAATATGCAGTCACTCAGTAATATACAGTTAAACACACAGATCCAGGTATACACTTACATCCATACATAAAAAAACAACACAAACTCATCTCCACACAGTAACACACAGACAGCATGGAAAACAATGTAAATATATACTCTAAAGATTAGATCAACATTAATATAATGATTATACTTTGCATTTAAGATATACTTTCATATGTATATCCTTTCCAACTTAATTTCTGTCAGCCTATTCTTATTTCTCTGACAAGAGGTACTGTGATCTGGACTTTAATTCTTCTTAGTCAAGATGGAGGTCCCTCTTTGTTAAAGTAAACAAATACTAGATTCTATAGCAGGACACAATCAACAAAATCTATGTGTTTACTGTCTAAGTTAAAGTGGTTTGAGTGTTTTGAGATCATACATTGAATTAGATCATTGTTTAATGTCCTAGGACATACTCGAAAACGAAAGAAATCTATGCATCTATGTATCTATCCTGGGAAAATATTTATAAATATAAATAAATAAATAATAAGGAATTTGGGTTTTAATGAACAACTTGCTATCTCAACTTTTCTCAATGTCAAAAAAATAATGTGCATTTGGTTTTAAATAGTTACCAAAATTGCTGTGATACCATTTTTCCTAAAAGGGAAACTATGGTGCCAGGAAAACAAACTAATTTTCCTGGCACTATAGATTTTCCCTTCTTTTAAGGCCCACTCCCGAGGTGCTAAAGGGGGTTAATAACCCCTTCGGTGACTTACCTGGGTCCAGCGCCGATGTCCCTCGGCGCTGGCTCAGCTCCACCCACGCTCCTCCCCTGCCGATGTCTGCTGGCAGGGGGAGACCTAATGCACATGTGCGGTGACGCTGGAGGTCCTCATGCATAGTGTGAGCACGTCCAGCGTCGTTTAGACGACCAAAAGTCATCTAAGAAGCTGGAAGTCCCTCTAGTGGCTGTCTGATAGACAGCCACTAGAGGAGGAGTTAAACCTAACAGGTAATTATTGCAGTTTATAAAAACTGCAATAATTACCACTCTGGGGTTAAGGGTGATGGGGGTTGGCACCCAGACCATTTCAATGAGGTGGTCTGGGTGCCAACAGTGCCCCTTTAATTTTGACCTGCAGTGTGTGTAGTAGAATAATATTCATATTTTCTGGCATAAATTGTCTGACTTCATACCGTTAAAAATACCCAGATCCTTTAACAGCCAAATAGTAAAATATAAAAGCAGATTAGACTCATAGAATGTGACGGCAGATAAGAACCATTCGGGCCCATCTAGTCTGCCCAATTTTCTTAATACGTTCATTAGTCCTTGGCCTTATCTTATAGCTAGGATAGCCTTATGCCTATCCCACGCATGCTTAAACTCCTTTACGGTGTTAACCTCTACCACTTCAGCTGGAAGGCTATTCCATGCATCCAATACCCTCTCAGTAAAGTAATACTTCCTGATATTATTTTAAACCTTTGCCCCAGTAATTTAAGACTATGCCCTCTTGTTGTGGTAGTTTTTCATCTTTTAAATATAGTCTCCTCCTTTACTGTGTTGTTTCCCTTTATGTATTTGAATGTTTCTATCATATCCCCCCTGTCTCGTCTTTCCTCCAAGCTATGCATGTTAAGATCATTTAACCTTTCCTTGTAAGTTTTATCCTGCAATCCATGAACCAGTTTAGTAGCCCCTCTCTTCAAAGTATCAATATCCTTCTGGAGATACGGTCTCCAGTACTGCGCACAATACTCCAAGT